AAGACAATTTACCAACGCTCTGCAACCTTCTCCTTTGCTTGGCTTCAAACACTGTTTCACTCAGATGTAGCCGCTATCGTCTTTGTCACAATCACTACAATGACATAGTTTCTCCATCCATGTGTGCAGAGGACTGTCCGTCTGTTCCTGACTGCAGGCACCCTCCGCATCCGAACACTATATGTCCATTTTGCGGCCATGGGCGCTATACTGAATGCATGTTTTTTTCTGGTGACCGTTCTTCTTTCGTTTTGGCCTGCAATCGACATGCCATTTGTCGGGTTCGTATGGTGGGCATGCTCAATGCCAACCGCCGTGGCAATTGTTGTAATGAGAATGCTCAGCTAGGTCTTCCATTTGTTCATCCACTTTATCCTTACAATGTATGTCCTCTCTGTCGTCAAGGACAGACTCATTCTTGAGCCTTTTTTTATCGTCTTTTGCCTTCATCTTTGCTCCACACTCCATACTTTTCCTTACCTTCCCTTTAACATTCTTTGTTTGTCTTCTCTCCATCTCTCTTCCCTGTGTTTGTCCCCTCCCCTTCACTCTGCCTCTTTCTCACAGCGTACAAGTGGGCCGTTATGGCACACGGGGATGGGGGCAGCTCACGCTCAACTTCATCAACGCGGCGAGCCTTGTACGTGAGAGACACAGTGTAGGGGGAGTTAAAAGAAGAATGAGAAATTGAATGTCGTCAACTTTCAAAGTGCCCTTGTTTTTTGTATTTTTATCCTTTCTTTCACAAAGTGCGCTCGTTTTGTTCATAAACATTTGACAATATATATACAATATGTATCTTCACTCGACACTCGGTACTTTCCCTTTATCATTCTTTGGGTGTCTTCTCTCCATCTCTCTTCCGTATGTTTATCCCCTTCCCCTTCACTCTGTCTCTTTCTCACAGCATACAAGTGGGCTGTTATGGCACACGGGGTTGGGGGCAGCTCGCTCAACTTCAGCACAGTGTAGGCAGAAAAGAACTGCATGCCAAGCTTGGCCAAAGCGCCAGCCGCAATCTTTTCTCTTTTGTTTTGGATGGCACCACCTGCCATTTTGGTCTGGTGGGTCCCAGCCTCCAAAAAATGTGCTATAGGATACACCGCATTCTTAGGAGGTTTCAAGTTTGCCTGTGAAAGGTAATTATGGTGGTTCAAGAGAAAAAAAAGATAAATAAGTGACGGCCGTGAGATATCAACATTGAACTGAGCGGCCTCAGGGTAACTCAGGATGATTGTATTCTGGTCAACTGATTCCACCTGGATTCGACAGACCAGTTATGGCGGCGGCCGTGCGCCGGCTGCCACAGCAACGCCCCCCTCTAACCTCTGCAGCACGCGTCTGGCCCCCCGCAGCGCTAGCGCAGCTGCGTCGTGCGCTAATGCAGCAGTGTGACCGCATGGTGCACTCAGGCTAGAGTTCCTGAGCCTGGGCGGTCACTTTCCTTTATGGAAAGTGAGCCCTGCTTTGGCTAGGCTGGCCCTGGCGTGCAGGGTCCCAGTAGCTTCACGTTGGCACAAAGTGTCTGCGTCCTGGGCCCTTCAGACAGTTACAAGGGCCGCAGCATCAAGCTGCACCGTCCGCCAGGCTCCAAGCGTTCGCTGCTCTCTCATTGGCTTCGTGGCACGTTTGTGACGTAGCAACTGCATTCTCATTGGTCCACGGCCAGTGTGTGATGTGTCGACTCTGGATTGTGTGTGCCCTAGGCTCAACTGTTTGGCGCAACAGCAGCTTCCGGAAATAGCCTGGAAAGGCTCACGTTGCGCTGTAACCAACTGGAGCGACGCAACTGTCTCGTACCCCATGTACAGAAATGGCAAAAATAGGCCTCACGCGAACACACAGGCCTGCCTTCACTTACGACGGGCAGAGGACTTGCTGGGGGCTCTGCTGGGGCCTAAGCCCAGGACATGTATGTGCCCGGACAGGCCCTCGAGAGGCCTCATTCCTCGCAAAGGGCGAGGGTCTTCAGATATCATCATTCAACTGACCGGCCTCAGGTTATTCACAGTTATGTTATTCTGCACTTCTGATTGCATCTGCATTCGAACTTGAGTCTGTATTTCAACCGTTCTTGGCTGTACCAACTGAGCTAGGCTCGTTGGTAGAGGAAATAAATTCTGAAGACCAAAAACTGGACAAAGGGACCAGCGGCGTCCCATGGGGGGGAAACAATTTAAGAAGACTGAAGCTCGAAAGAGGGTCCCGCGTCCCATGAAAAAGTTACCCGAAAAAAACAGTTGCTGAAAAGCTGGAAATCAGGACCAGCATGTCCTAAGTCTCGGCAAAGTAAACCTGTGAGCATGAAGAGCTGGAAAATATCTGAACTTCTGTGGTCGTCTTTTTTTATTTAAAAAAAAAAAAAAAAAAACGCATTGCAAGCCCACTATCCCGGTGGTGGTACGAGAACCACTAGGATTGAGGCCTTGCCTGTGGGTCGTTGCTCCATCTATTCGTGGGGAGCTTCACGTGCTGGATATCGGGTCCAGCGTCCCATTGGATACACCCATTATCAGCAGACGTACCGCCAAAGATATTGCTGAAAAAAATCATCAGAAAAAAATACTGGTGAATCAGTGAAGCAGCGGTGATTTTCTTTTTAGCGGAGACGTTCTTGTGAATGGCCGAGACGTTTGTCGGAACTTTCTAAATAGGGAAACATCTAGACTTCTAAACTCCTTCTGAAGTTCTAAGGAGAGCAAGAGAGGTGCAATCTTCTCACAACCGCATTGCCCGTGGCTCCCAAGGCATCATCCTGAAGGGGTCTTTAAGTATCTGGCCCGGAAGTTGCCCTTGATACATACAGGCAAAGGAGCTTTCATTATCCTGAAGTGCGTAATACGTGTATGTATGTGGCCTGGAAGTTGGCCTGTATACATACAGGCTTTTGATCATCATGCAGTGCTGCCACGGTGAAGATTTTGTCTGGGTGGGGGTGGCGGGGGGGAGAGATGGAGGTCCTTAGGGCATACGCCGGATGGGCATACTCACACTCGTTTCTTTCTTTCTGATGTATCCAACTCTAGTTCTGACCAGATTCAGTCTAGAAGTCCTGGTGCAAATACGTCTTCGGGAAGTGATGAATCATGAATGGACTTGGCACCGTGTCAGGCAAAGGGAAAAAAAAAAAAAAAAAAACAGAAACAGTCAGCACCCCAGATCTGCATGTGCAGCTTTAAAAAAAAAAAAACAAAAAAAAAAAACAAAAGAGAAACAGTTAGCGCCCCAGATCTGCAGATGCAGCTGAAGCTACTCCTCTTTTTTTTTCTTTTCTTTTCTTTTTTCTTTTCTTGTGCTACTCCTCACAAATGCTGTCCACCAAAATTTTGTTATAAATTATAATTATAATAATAATGAAATAATATATTTGAAATTTGAATCATATATTTAATTATTTAATATTTATTCATTTTATTTTTTAATTTTTGATGTCTCATGTCCACCAACAGTTCTTATCAGGTTCTAAACTGCCGCACTTCCAAAGAGAGCAGATACAGTCCAACTTTTCTAAAGAGAGCAGATACCGTGCGTCGATCATTATAGCTGTATTTGGCCCATCTCCGGCCGTAATGACCATACGTTGTATTCGGGGGAAGAGAGCAGTCATCTCCGGCCGTAGATTATGAAGACAGGCAATAAACTGCCAGGAATGACGAATCCTTTCTTGCAAGTAGGATCTCTGGGCAGAGGGTCCAGACCCCCCAAAAAGAAAAAAAGAGTGTCAAAGAGCAAAAGAAAAATGAAGACAGAAAAAAAGGAAAGCAGAAGAATTCAATTCAATCGAAAAAGCGAGGCTGATTGGTTCGTAATATTGATGTGGAAATCACTCGTACACAGTGGAAAACCAACACTGGATAGCGTGATAAAGACACTCAGGGCATAATCACACTAGCATTTTCCAAAATGCATCTGACTGCAATTACAGCTAGACCTAGATGCATCTGACCACAATGACGTCCATAAATAAGACGTCCTAGTGTGAGAACGCTCACATACATAGGGCCTCGTTAGACACTCCTTGTGGACCCGAAATCCACAAGGAAATGATCGTTGCACCTGTCCTTGGGGACGATTCTCGAAAAAAATGTGAAAACACCAGAAGGAGATTTCCTTGTGGCATCCTCGTGGCCACAGCCAATTTTTCCTTAAGCCCAAGGGACCTCCCAAGGTTCCTCGGAGCACAAGGAAGCGCGAATTTCGGAGCGGCGAAGGCATGCGTCGACGCACAATTTTGGTTCGAGGGTGGTCCAGACGTGGTCCAGCGAACCGGAGCACGGACATCCCTCTGTCAAAAATATGCACGGCACCACAATGGCTCCAAACGGTGACCGGCGTCGGGAGGCCTCCGTCCGTCGACGCGAAATGCCGGCCGGCGTCCAGTCAGGTCTGCTGCGGTGGGCGATCGTCGACAACGGTCCGAAATTCGAATGCTTTTCCCACCCGGTGCCCCTTTCGACGACGACAGTCTCGTTGGACAAGATCGTCGTTTTCTTCGATTGTCGTCACGCCTCGCACGTTGCAGCACAGAACTTCCACCGATCTTTCTTGTGTCGACGGGCTTGTTCGTTGAACGGTCGACCGCCGACGTCACACTGAAGCCCTTCGAACGGCCCTTACATGGCCGGCCTGCTGCACAGGCTGCCTCTGCTGGTCCTCGTCGCCGTGCTGCTTCTCGTCGTTGTCTTCTTCCACGTGTGTTTCGTCGGCCTCGTCCCGCTCGTGGCTCGCAGAAGGAGATCTTCGAAGAAAGCCGACAGGATGGATCGACGAGTGGGCAACGGCAGACCGGCAGGCACAACCTCCGGAGCGAGCAATCGGCAACACAGTGCGGGGTCTGTGGCGAAGCGGCCGTACGACCCGAGGTTGTATGCACACCTGCCTTCTCACGAGATTCCTCTRCCGCCGTTGGATGACGAGGGGGGAGACGCCAGGTCATCGACTTTGCCGTTGGGAAGTGGGTCCACGCAGGAATGGGCGGCAACGTAGTCGTGCGGCGGCAGGCGGGTGGAGACCCCGTGGTCTTACACGTCACTGCTGAACGAGGGGCTGTGCGACGACGACGGCAATGCAGCGGTTGATCTCAGCTTCCAGTTGTCCAGCAGCAGCGGAGCAGCGGCCACGCACACTCGGATCATCAATCCCCACCCGAGTGTGGATTGCGCGGACAACACGCACGGTGGTGTGTGCGGGCCGCGAGACGGCGGTCTGCCTCAATCGCTTCGTGAAGGTGGTGGTAATCGGAATGAGTCGACGTTGACCGTCGGCGGAGGAGTCGGTGCGCGTGAACGTCCGGAGTGGATGTGGTTCTCACCTGCGTCGCGAAGCGGATCCGGCGCTCCTGGACGGCAGCGGCCGGAGGATTTGCGTGAGGAAGGTGCGGACGAACACCGCGACGGCAGGCAGCTGTGGGCAGAGTGCAAGCAGGCCTTGTATCAACGTGGAACAGAGACAATCACGAGAGGGGTGCAACGGCTCCACGTGGACGAAGGGGACGAAGCTGCAATTGAGGAGGCCGAAGGGTGTGACGACGTTGACGGTGACAACGATTGCAACTCCGACGATTTGCCAGACATTAGGCCGCTGGGGAGGAAGGCGACGAACGGCGGAGCGACTGCGAGGAAGGGTCCTGCTACGAAAAGTTGACGGAGCAAGAAAATGGATGACGATACGGGCCGGAGCGATGGCGAGGGCGGCTGAAATTTCTGGTCGGTCGGAGACACGATCGCACTCGTCAGGGCAAAAAGGGATCAAGATTTGTATATCACCGACATGGGCACCAGTTTCGCCCGCATGAAAACGAGGGAGTGGAAGTGGGAGGACATGCGGGCGAGGTTGCAGTCGATGGGCGTAACGAGGGAGGCCGTCGACTGCGGGAAGAAATGGGACAACTTGATGCAGCAATTCAAGGAAGGTCCACAAGTTCGAGAACCTCTCTGGCGGGAAAGACTACTTCAAGCTTGCTTCAAAGGCCAGGCGATCGGAGGGCTTCAACTTTGTCATGGACCGGAGTGTGTACGACGAAATGGAGGCCATGACGCAGGGGGATCACACGATCCACCCGAAAAATTTGGCAGACACGGGGGCGGTCGGTGGGGTTCAGATGCCGGCAGGCGCGGGGGCTGGAGGGGACACCATGGCCCTTGAGGGTGGAGGGGAGGCAGCCAATGAGGAGCAGGGGTCGACGAAAGACTCCACATTCAGCGCGGGGAGCGGCGGCGGTTATGGGAAGAGGAAGAACATGCGGCAACAAATCTTCGAGGCCGTCGCCGAGGTCATGGACAAGCATTGTGCGCTCATGGCGAACACAATGGACAGTGCGAGCAAGCGGCAACGCTCGATGATGTTACGTCAGTGCGAAATCCTGGAGAGCGAAGTGGAAGTGCAGAGGAAACATTATGCTGCGGCGGATGAGGCGAACAGAATGATGTGCCACGCCCTTATGGAGATAGCAAAAGCCATCCGCGAGAGATCATGAGTAATGCTGCCAAAAATGTCCACTGTTGCTTTAGTGGCTTGTCTCTCCACTCGTTGCGCCTGCGAAGATGGCGACTTGTGTGTGTGTGTGTGTGTGTGTGCATGTGTGTGTGTGGTGTGTGTGTGTGTGTGTGTGTGTGTGTGTGTGTGTGTGTGTGTGTGTGTGTGTGGTCACCAAATGCTTAGCAGTACCTTTTTTAGAATCTTTTTTTTTTTTAGTTGTTGCACTTCGTTTTCTAGGAGAGTAGTATGTGATGCATTTGCGGTCTCCACATCAAGAGGGCCAGTTGTTGAAGGGGTTATGTTGTTCGAGGATTGAGGTGGACGGGGGTGTCACCGTTCGTGTCCAGGAAATTGCGCGCCGGGGGGGTGTTTGGG